GTCATGATTATACTATATGATAAATTTTCAAGTGGTGATGGACTTCGACGCTGTCGCTCTTTTTTCCTATTATAAACCATAATTTCATGTTGCAAAAAATCTTCAATATTTAGGTCTATACCACATGCTTCTAATTCTGTCAGTGGATTGCGCTTTCTTGTAGTTAAGCGTTTCTACGATTCTTCACCGATTCAAATTGGCGTAATGCCGTTGATATACTTAATAAAATTTCGCAAGTCGAAATATAATATCTTTTATAATTTATTGTATACCTCTGATGTATGGTACAAAAACTACTTGCTGTATTCGCAATAGGCAAGCTTTACCTTATGGGGTCATGCCTTCGTCTACATTGAATAGGAAAATGGAAGAAACTGATTCACTCCTTATTGATGCCATTGCCCAAGTGGACGCTTTCCATGATCAAGAAGATTATTATACTAACTATGTGCGAGGGCAGATCGTTGATCGGAGGTTAGAAGAACCTTGGTTAGAAAGTGATTTATCACGTAAAGACCCTATGCATTCGCAATCTGTCTTGAATCTGCGATATCATGACTCTCGGGGTCAAGTTGCCAACCCAGTGCGTCATCTCGAATTATCTTTAGGTTTTTTGGGAAATGATTCACGAGGAATGCAAATGGGCCTCAATCTTAATCTTGCTCAAACACAAATGCAAAGTCGAAGTTCTGGTTTAGTTCAAGTGATGGGGGTTAATACTGACACTCAAGTTCTTGAAAGGCCATGGTCTAAACAAGCCATCAGGATTGGGTGTAATAAGATACATAATCAACTTAAGGATAACACTCATATTTTCTCTACACAAAGAGAAGGCAAAATTAATGAAGTGGGCCCACCTAGTGAAACAAATTATGCGGAGCACACGATAATGCGAAATCCTGAAGAGTGACAAAAAAAACTTTCCAGTAGAGATTATCACCTATATAATGAGTTAATTCGTAAGTATACTAATTCTGACAATAACGTGCCCTCTTATGTGCCATGGCGTCATGTTATGGGTAGGGTTGTTAACTGGAGCATAATGTTCTGGCATCAACCCGAGTTATGTATCACTCCGTCACGGAGCGGGTTAAGATTTCTAATTTTTTGTACTAACCCGGAGCAAATTATTTATTATA